AAGCAAAACCAAAGGCGAACTGCAAAAGAAAATTAGCCTGACGAAAGACCCAACCATATGCAGGTGTGAGTACCGCGCTTGTGATTCCCTTTTTCGGTGGTGATCCTTATGAGGCAACGAACCGTGCTAGGGGTGTGCCGAAATGAGTGGCGTGGTACACGACGCGAACGAAAACGATTGATCTGAGTACGTAGGGAGACTGAGCGCGGGTGAATCTGAGCGCGAGTGAGTCTGACTGTGAATGAATCTGCGTGCGAGCGAGTCCACGTGCATGAATGCGAGTACGCCTATGCATGGTGCAATTGTATATGAATGCTAATAGTTTGTGAATGACTGTCTCTGGGTACTCGTGACGCTGGGCGTGGCCGCAGAAAGGAGCTTCCCCGGGGCTCCCCGACGGCATCGCCCGCGTGCCGCGACGCCACCGCGAGGATCGCGCCCGCTTCCTCCCCTTCTTTGACTCCCTCTTTGCCCGCGCACTCAAAAGTCCAAAGCTGCGGGCGCAGCGCAGCGCGGAGTCCCAGCGACGCGCGCAGGTCGCCCCGGAGGGGTCCCAGCGACGCGCGCAGGTCGTCCGCTGCGCGCCGCAAAAAGAGCTAGCTGGCTGGCTGATAGCGGGCAAGGCTCTTGCCGCTGGGCAGAGCGACGACGGGCGAGCGAGGCGCGGAACTCCGACGGCCTCCGGCGGAGGTGTACTGGGTGGGGGAGACGCAAGCGGACTGCGCCACGGGGACCTTCGGTGGAGCTCCCTATGGGGCCACGAAACGTGTGAGGGATGTGCCGAAATGGGTGTGCGGGACGCATGCGGGCACACCCACTGGGACCTTCGGTTGGGCTCCCTATGGGGCCGCGGAACGTGTGAGGGATGTGCCGAAATGGGTGTGCGGGACGCATGCGGGCACACCCACTGGGACCTTCGGTGGAGCTCCCTATGGGGCCACGAAACGTGTGAAGGGTGTACCGAAATGGGTGTGCGGGACGCATGCGGGCACACCCACTGGGACCTTCGGTGGAGCTCCCTATGGGGCCACGAAACGTGTGAGGGGTGTGCCGAAATGGGTGTGCGGGACGCATGCGGGCACACCCACTGGGACCTTCGGTGGAGCTCCCTATGGGGCCACGAAACGTGTGAGGGTGTGCCGAAATGGGTGTGCGGGACGCATGCGGGCACACCCACTGGGACCTTCGGTGGAGCTCCCTATGGGGCCACGAAACGTGTGAGGGGTGTGCCGAAATGGGTGTGCGGGACGCATGCGGGCACACCCACTGGGACCTTCGGTGGAGCTCCCTATGGGGCCACGAAACGTGTGAGGGGTGCGCCGAAATGGTGTGCGGGACGCATGCGGGCACACCCACTGGGACCTTCGGTGGAGCTCCCTATGGGGCCACGACGCCACGAACGGTGTGAGAGGGATGTGCCGAAATGGGTGTGCGGGACTCATGCGGGCCACGAAACACCCGGGGCTGGGACCTTCGGTGGAGCTCCCTATGGGGCCACGAAACGTGTGAAGGGTGTGCCGAAATGGGTGTGCGGGACGCATGCGGGCACACCCACTGGGACCTTCGGTGGAGCTCCCTATGGGGCCACGAAACGTGTGAGGGGTGTGCCGAAATGGGTGTGCGGGACGCATGCGGGCACACCCACTGGGACCTTCGGTGGAGCTCCCTATATGGGGCCACGAAACGTGTGAGGGGTGTGCCGAAATGTGTGTGCGGGACGCATGCGGGCACACCCACTGGGACCTTCGGTGGAGCCCCTTATGGGGCCACGAAACGTGTGAGGGGTGTGCCGAAATGGGTGTGCGGGACGCATGCGGGCACACCCACTGGGACCTTCGGTGGAGCTCCCTATGGGGCCACGAAACGTGTGAGGGGTGTGCCGAAATGGGTGATGACGATGATGATGGTGGGAGGAGGAGTGGGAGGAAGAGGGGGAGGAGGAGGAGGAAAGGAGAGGAGGAGAGGACAGGAGGACGCGGGGACCGTCTCTTCAAAACGAGGACCCAACATCACAGGATGGTTGGGAACTAAGGAACACCGAGCCCCTCCCCAACGAAAAGGGTTCCTTCTTCAGGGCCCCGACTGTAAGGACGCAAGGCCCTTGGAAGCCGAAGTTGGGATTCTTGGGGCGGCGGACGACGAAAACCCCAAGGACGCAAGAGCAAGGAAGAGCAAGGACGCCAGGGTACCCTGAGCAAAGCCGCGCGTCCTTATTAGGGCTTTTGACTGTAATCAACACTCAGACGCTGAAGGCGGGGGGCACGCTGCATCGTCCTGGCCACGGGGTTCCACTGCAAGAATGCTCGCAGGGCTGAACCGAAACGGTGCTCGTCGTGTTCGTTCTGCTTTCGTGGTCCCTCGCGCTCGTCTCGAATCCGCCTTCAACGCAAGACGCAGTCGGAACGAACACGGCCCACGAGATCGCCAAAACACCGTTTAGGTCCAGCTCCGATTTCTCGGCGCGCACGTCGCCCCTGCGGGGGCGACGCACACATAGCAGTAATTAGCTTTTGGAGGCTCGTCTGGGGACCTTCCTGGAGCCACTCGCTCCACTGGGGCGTCGAAGCTGCGTCGAACCCGAGCCGAACCTGCCACGAACCCGAGTCGAACCCGAGTCGAACCTGAGTCGAACCCGAGCCTGACCTGAGTCGAACCTGAGTCGAACGGGAACCGAACTAGAGCCAAACAAATCTGCTCGGTGGCCCCCAGGAAGGTCCGCACAACGAGCATCTGAAACATGATCGGGTGGCCCCGACGACGCCGCCGCCGCCGCCGCCGACGCCGACGCCGCCGACGCCGACTCTTGAAGCAGGAAGGCGCTTGAAGCACACTGGGATATGGGAGCCAAGAATGCCTGCCCTCAACGCCTGGCGGACGACGCCGACGCCGACGCCGACGCCGCCGCCGCCGACGCCGCCGACGACGACGACGACGACGACGACGACGCCGACGACGACGCCGACGCCGACGCCGACGCCGACGCCGACGACGACGCCGACGACGACGCCGACGACGGCGGGCCTCGGCCCGCCGCACGGGCGGCGGCGGCCCCGCCGAGGCGGCCGCGCGGTCCGCGGCGACGCCGCCCAGCTTCGGCTGGGCCCGGGGGCGGCTGCACAGCAGCGTGGGGGCGCGCGGCTGCGGCAGGCCCTGGCAGGAGAGCCCAGGATCGGATCGACAAGTCGGATCGGCGATCGACATGAATCGGATCGTCGGAAATCGGCAGCTGAGTCGGGAAAAGTCGGATCGGCAGAAATCGGCAGGCTAATGTGCCTCCAATAAGAGATCGGAACTCAAATCGGAATCCCAGATCGAATCGAATCGGAATCGGAAACCATCGAAATCGAATCGAATCGAATCGGAGGAATCGAAACGAGCCCTGCCCTGGCGTGGGCCTAAACGGTGCTCGTCGTGTTCGTTCTGTCTTCGCTGTGCCTCGCGCTCGTCTCGAAGCCGCCTTCCACGCAAGACGAAGCCGGAACGAAAACGGCCTCCTGGGAGGCACCACGCGTCCTCCCAGGAGGCGCGCGCCCGACCCGGACATCTATCGGGTTGGGCGAAAGGGGGGGATAGCAAAAAGGGGGGGTTTGAGAATCCGCTCTCGTGGCTGATTTTCCCGGCGCCTCCCGGCGCCGAGAGGCGGCCATGCATCGAGGAATGGGCCCCTCGGCGAGGCCGAAACCAGCTGCATGCAGCAAATTTCGTAGCCCCCCCTTTGCCAATCCCCCCCTTTCGCCGGGCCCGACTGGTGTGGGGCTACAGTCAACCCGAGGAGTAGGGATGCACGATATGGGTGCAGGGGCCTCGGAGAGCCATGTTGACGTTCTTCGAGCGGGGCGCCACCGAATACCGAAGGATGCAAGGGCACCCTGACGCACCCCCATCCTTGCCGAGCTGGCGCCTGGGGCACAAGCAAAGACAACGCAAGGATGTAAGTCGGGCGTGTTCCTCTACAGGAGGAAGACTCGGAAATACCAGGAAAATAGCCTGTGGACGACGTTTCGACCATTTTTGATGATTTTGGGGTAGTTCTGGGGTATATCTTCTTTTTCGCCCAACATCCGCATGTAGGGGGACATGCCCGACCTAATCGAAGGGCTATGCTGTTCCCATCGCACTTGAGGACCGCATCCCAGAAATCATGCCGAGCACCCAGAAAAGAAGTACATCGACACAGCGTCGAACGAGTGGCGCCTCCCAGGGCCCGACACGTCAAAACCCTCCAGTTTCGGCAGTGCTTTCCTGGTGCTCGAAACTCTGTCTGGCGATCAAGGCTACAGTAACGCATGCATGTACCGCGCGCTCTGTTTTCCAGCGCCCACGTCACCCTCAAGGGTCTGTGCGCGTCCATGCGACGAGCTCTGCGCCAGCTCACTGCATGAACGTGCCGGTGGCGACGGCACGAACAACGTGCGACGGCAGCCACCCAGCGCAGGGCCCGTGCCCTACGGCAGTGCTCAGCACTCCACGCGCTGACGGTCAAGATCAAGGGGTCCAGACCGTTACGGCGAGCCCGCCCCTCAGGGGCATGCTCGCCGCCGCCACACGGGGCACAGCCTCAAGAGGCCTGGATGCCCCACGCGCGGCCCTCGCCGTAACGCGTGTGGCGTGGAGGCTAGGCGGCCCATGCCGACCACCTCCAGGCAGGGCCTCAAGAAGCCACGCCTATGACCTCTGACCCGCTCGTCTCAGGAGGCGGGGTGGGTGGTGGACCGGAACAGCTATGGCGCGCGCGCGATGCATGAGTACCCTCCGTGCCTGCTCCCGCACGCACGTGGCGCAACGCATGCATGTACCGCGCGCTCTGTTTTCCAGCGCCCACGTCACCCTCAAGGGTCTGTGCGCGTCCATGCGACGAGCTCTGCGCCAGCTCACTGCATGAACGTGCCGGTGGCGACGGCGCGAACAACGTGCGACGGCGGCCACCCAGCGCAGGGCCTGTGCCCTACGGCAGTGCTCAGCACTCCGCGCGCTGACGGTCAAGATCAAGGGGTCCAGACCGTTACGGCGAGCCCGCCCCTCAGGGGCATGCTCGCCGCCGCCACACGGGGCACAGCCTCAAGAGGCCTGGATGCCCCACGCGCGGCCCTCGCCGCAACGCGTGCGGCGTGGAGGCTAGGCGGCCCATGCCGACCACCTCCAGGCAGGGCCTCAAGAAGCCACGCCAATGACCTCTGACCCGCTCGCGAATTCCCTCCCGCCTGCCTGGGGGAGAACCAAAGCCGCGCACAGCACCCAGCCCATACCCCCCTAGAGGTGGGCGGGTGGGGCGGCAACGAGCATCGCCAGGAGCCGTTTGCAGCGCTGCACGCACTGCAATGCCTCGACAGACAGTGCCGCCGCCATGCTGGTTGATGTAGATTTTGGCAGTCTTGGCGTGCTCCCACCGCCCTAACGATTGCGTGGCATCGAAGGAGGCATACTTAGCAAACTGCCATGTTGCACCACCACGTCGAAGACAATAAGGTGTAAGGGACGAGTCGTCGATACCGAAATCGCCGGCATACCTTTTGATTGCACTCGCAAGGTCACGGAAAGTACCTGGGAACAGCCGGTCATCAGGTGGTAATCTTCGCAATGCTCTGGAAATGAGCCGAACTGCAAGCGGGTCATGTAGCAACACGCACTCGTCGAACCCTTTCCTCTGAGACCCCTTCGAGCCTGGGAGACTAATGACACACACTTTGTTGGCGATGACCTTAATCTGCTTTGAGGTGAGAGTCAACAGCTCGCCGGAACGGAGAAGACCAAGAAACCCAGTGAGGAAAATGACGGCGACGCGGTCCTCGTTGAAGGCGAAAGCCGCTCCGACCATCCCAACCAGGGCGTCGGCTGGGAGAGGCAACGCCCGCCGCCGCTTCAACCCTCGACCCCAATACGAGCAATACAACTTCGCTGTGTCCACGTGCTTCCGGCACCTAGGGAAAAGCCGGCGGAGGCCGGACACGAAGTCCTGCGCATGCCCGTGTGGCTCGCCTTCCAAGTAAAGATGATTAACGTACTCCGCAGCTGCTGAATCGAGATCGGGCATGCTATCCGGCAGCTGGTGGCCATGCACATGCAAATGGTTGAAGAAATTGCTCACTTGCTTCCTGTTACGTTGAAGTGTTCGATCAGTAATACCTTCGTACTTGATATGCGCACGCTTGGTCTTCCTGGACCGGCCTCGCGCGCTACCCATCAGGGCCGGGATGCAGCCGGCTGGCTGCATCAGAGTAGTTCCAATGACTGACGGTCCATAGCGTGAGCACGTACGAGTTGGCAGCGAGGGCGCGCGCCGAGAACCGCCGGGAGATGCGGTTCAGGACCTTCGAGCTGCTACGCACTTTGGCCGCGACGCAAGCAACGACGCGACTGTCGAACACATGGAAGTAATGTTTGTTGCGGAAGCTGAGCGAGTCCGCTAAAGAACGGACATACATTTAAGAAGGCTGTGAATTCGAGTGCGTTTATGTGCTGCTCTTGTCGCCATGGGTACGCCTGGGCCGTCTTCCATTTCCAGGCGCACGCAGGGTAAGGAAGGTCTTGCCGACACCCGTCGATGAACTCCCCCGTGGAAAGGCGCACGTCCGACCCTCTGTAGCCCGCCTCGCGGAGAAGACCCCGTAGATGCGCGACTTCCCCGCCGCGTTTCATATGCCGAAACCTGTCCAAGAGCGCGCGCACTGCTGCCGAAAGCCCCGGCCCCTCGGACAGCCTTGCTGCGCTGCGACACAGCTCGCGCCGCAACCATCCTTCGCGGAGGGACGGGGCGGCCGGCAACTGCTCACGGCGACGCGCCAGAAAGGCATCGGCAATTACCGCGCCAGCGAATGCGCACCACCCTCTATACCAATCTGTCGGCAATCGAGGCTGGCGCTGCAAAGTGGACACCAATGCACGGCGAAGAGCAGCAGAACAACGCAGCACGTAGAACCCGGACTCCGCGGGTCCACCCCACCAAGAGGCGCAGACCGCGTCCAAGAAGACGCCGTTGAACCGCTGCACCGTCGAGATCAGAGGCACACGGGAGACCCAAGTTTCCCCGGGCAGCTCGATGGCGCCCAGGCGCCCGTTGGCCAGCTCAGCCTCCAGAAGGCGCACTGCCGACTTAACAAGAGCGTTGCCTCTGCCGACCTTGCACCGCAAGCGTTGAGGCAGGTGCGGCCGACCCTCCGGGTGAGCCTCATCGCGGAGAGCGCGCCCATGCGCGCTCTGCGCCTGGAGCTCTAGAGCACCTGAACACCAGTGCAACCATGCTGCCTCTGGCAGCCGTTGCGCGCCGAGCACGGGCATGACCGGCACGCCGCGCTTCCCTACCTCCCACGCGAGCCAGCTACTTGAGGCGCCTGCGACGTACACCGCGCAAGCGGGCATGCCATGGCACTCCGCGCCACAGCTCGCACGACGCCTCAGGAGGCAATCGAGCCTGCAAGCTAGCGCACTGCACCCCAGGATGCAGCACCTGCCAGCATCGGCCGGCAGAGGGCCTCCGCAGACCGCACACACCGTTGTTCGATGCGTAGCCTCGCAAGTTTGCCCGACCTCCTCCAAGAGGCTTGCAACGACATCTTCTGCGAGACCCTCCGTCTCGCCGTCCAGCGCGTCGACGAATTCCGTCGCCTCGCAGGCGCCGCCTCCGGCAGAGGACGCATCAGAACAACTGATTGTGCGCCGGATTTCGGCGCGCAAGTCCGTGAACATGAACGGAAACAGCAGCGTCGCGAGCAGCACCTCGTCTAAGTGCTCCATGCTGGGCTCCACGACGCCTGGCCCTGCAGAGACAGCAAGAGTGAACGCCTCTTGGAGGGCCGCAAAGATAGGACGGCGGAAAGAGGCCCCAAAGCAAAAGCAGCCAAGCCAATGCTGAAGAGCACCGCCACTCCACTGCGGCATGCCCAAAAGCACGCCTCCCTTGAATGCAAGAGCAGTGCTTTTGTCGCGGCTGTGCGACAACCAACCGCGAAACCCATCGAGCTCTCCGCCGAGCAACGAACCATGCGCTGCACACACCACGCTTTTCCCAGCATTGAGCGGCAAATCCAACCGGCGGCAAGCCGCCACGAAGCTCTCGTGCCCAGGGCTCTCGCCTGGCCCGCCTGCCCACCTAGCGGCGGCCGCCGCTTTACGCAAGTGGCCCACGCCGTCCATGCACACGACGGTGAAGTCCGGGCCTGGGGGCACGACGCAATCCCTATGCAACTCAGTGCTGGCGGGAGCCCCGCAAGTTTCAAAAACCAGCTTCCGCGCCATGTACTGCATCGCATCGACCGCACCGAGCCAGCCCATGGGCACGGTTTCCGAAGCCGGCCCGCCAATGACGCTACGGGGGACTTGCTTGCTAAACGCAAACATCCCCCTCCAAGCTGGAGGCATGCGAAAAAGACTAAAACAAGACTCCATGTCCTCCGAATCGATCCACATGTCCTCTCCAGGCTGCAATTCGACGAGGCTGAGCTGACCTAGATACGGCAGATCGCCACTCCCCCCGCGCAGCCTTCGGACAAACGAATTTGAGGGCACGAGGATGGAGATAAAACGCAAGTACCTTTTCCGAACGCCGTCGACGATTTTGAACTTGTCTACCCCCATCGCGCCATTGAGCACCAGCTTGCCGCCGGCGTCTCTCAGAATGTCGTCCTTGTCCACCTCCATAAAGATGCCGCGCTCGATGCCGACCTGCACGATCTTGTACCACTCAGCGTCGCTAGCATGCACCGCCGACTGCGGAGCGACGGCCGGCCACTCCGCACGCGGGAGCAGGCACCGCTGCACGTCGAGCAAGTCGTCGCGGAGCTCCCCGTCAACGAAGTCCCCCACTGGGAGAATGGCCGCCTTGCCGGCAGCCGGCCACACCGGCACCACCAGGTCGCAAACCAAGTCCCGCTTCTTGGACACGACCTCGCCGCCGTAACCCGCGCGACGAGCATCGAGGTCATCGCGGACAGCTGCAGGGTCAACCGCCGGCGGCGAGCCGGCTAACATGAACCCGACGGACTCCACGATGCGCTGCATGACGCCGCGCTGCCCGCGCGACAGAGGAGCCGAGGCGCGGAGACAGACAGGCCTCCGGCACCGCCCCGCGCACGCGAGGAAATTGAGGGCGTGCGCGGCGAGCATGCCCCACGCCTCGATGCCAGGGCTGCGGCCGCCGTGCCGCCTGCCGACGGCCTCGCGCAAGGCCTCTTCTGCAGCGAGCGGCTCGATCGGGAGGAGCTCGCGCCCCTTCGCGCTCGGCGCGACGCCAGAATCGTGGGCGCTGGAGATCAGAGACTCAGCCACGAAGGCAATCCGCGAAGGGGCGGAGCGACATGCCGCAAGCAGGCAGAGGCCCAGCTCGGGCAGACTCTGGCAGCCCGATACGCAAACCTGCACGGAACTCTGCCACGCGGCCGTGGAGGCAACGCCCGTGAACTCCTTCTCGAACAGGGGCCGAAGATGAACCAAACGGGCATGCTCAGCATGCCCAGTGCTGCCGGCCATCGCCCCAGCCCTATCCTCGGCACCGCCGAGGCCCTTGCAGTAGCCGACCGTGTAGCGCATGTCCTTGGAGTCGCAGTCCTTCGCCACGTACTGGGGGCCCTCCTCGGAAGACTCCCCGTGCTTGCAGTAAGCACCCTTCTCCGTAACCATATCCTTGCCCGCGTAGGAAAACGTGGCCGCAGAGGAATCCCCTGTGGCCAGGCTGGCCGCCTGCCCGGCGACCGACCTGCTCGCCCACTGGGCGAGACCCTCCGCCGGAGGGTTTAACGGGGAGTCCGGGCAGGATCTGGGGCGTCCTTCCCGGACCCCTTCTTCCCCTTCATCTTTCCCTTTCCGTCTTTGCCTTAGCCGCTCCCCTTGGAGCCACCTCCTCCGCTGCTCCGCGAGCCTTGCCCGGAGGAAGACCAGCCGCCCCGCGAGGAGAGGCGCATCTGGAAGTCGTACTCGCGCTGGCTCATGTGCTGCTCCCCTCGGCCAGCAAGCAGCGGGCCCTCGGGGTCCACCAACTCCAGGAACTGGGCCCGGTCCCAGCTCCCGTCGACGATCGCCGCCTCCACCGCCTTGAGCCGCTGCCCCAAGACATCGGCCGCCTGCAGGCGCCTGCCCTTCGCGATGTGGTCGAGGGCGGTGGAGAGCGTGAGCATCTCCCGGTGGTTCCGGATCCCACCGTTCGGGTGCGTCACGCGCAGGACGCGGTAGAAGTAGCTCTTGGCCGATGCTGGCATAGCATCGGCTACCCAATTCCCCGCCTCGCCGTCCCGCCCAACCCGGTCCTCCATCTGCTGAAGAAGACCGGCTGCCAGGCGCCCTGGGTGCTGCTGCGCCCAGGCCACGAGCCGCGCTTGGGTGTGGCGGCTCACGGACGACGAGGCGTCGGGAAAAACTGAACGGGACCGCGAACGAGAAGGCGTCCTCCGGGAGCGACGCCGAGAGCGCGACCGGAAAGCCGCGTCGCGCCGCTGCCGGCCAGAAGGCCCGCGCTCATCACGCCGATCCTCCTGCTGCACGGCTGGCGGGGGTGACCTCCGGGGCGGCCCTGGAGCCACCCTGCGATCGCCGCGCACCCCAGCAGGCGACCCCCGAGGCGACCTCCGAGGCGACCTCATGGGCGACCTCCGCGGAGACCTCCGAGCCGACCGGTCCCGGCCGCGCTCACGACCGCGGCTCCGGCTCCGCCGGACTGGGGCGCTCTTGGGCACTGCACCCAGCGCCCCCGTCGGCTCGGAACGCGTCCGCCCAGCAGGGGGTCCCGCAGCGGCACCGTCAGCTCCGCCAAGCTCGCGCACGTGCCTCCGATCCGAGAGCCGACCGCGCTCGACACTCCGACGCAGGTCAGCTAGGCCCTCGCGCAACCCCCTCCGCCCAGGGTCGGGGGTCGGATGATCCACCCGATCGCTATCAAGGAGATGCGGACGGAGTGCACCATCGCGTTCGCCTCCTCCAGCCGGAGGCCCCCGGGGGCCTCCGCCCTCGCGGCTAGGATCTCCAATGCTCGCGAGAGCGTCAGCGAGCCGCTCCTCGAAGACCGGCCGGAGCCCGCGGCGGACCCACCCGACGCGGTCCCAATCCGGGGCGGCACCCGTAGACAACACGCGCCACTTGAACACGGCGTTCACGTACCGGCCCCCGTCCTCCTTGCTCTGGGCAGCGCCGTCGCGGGCGAGTAGGTACCACCCTGGGTTCTCCCCCTCGA